CACATTAATACAAGGAAAAAGCAAATCAGTTACTTACCGAATTGGTACAGTACCGCTTGATGAGCTCATTGATGGCAATGTCATTCTTGTGTAATTTGGGTCCTGTGTGGTACCAGCCAACTATTCGTTCTCTGGCTGAAAAAGTGAACGCAAATGTATGAATGACACACTAACATTAAAAACATACTAATTTAAGAGACAGACGCACTGCTTTTACCATTAACTTTCTTGAACATGCCATACATGTTCTCCAAGTAGTCATGGTCCAGGAACCAAACTGAGTCATCCCTGTCATCCTCATCAAATGGCACTGGGGAGATAAAAAAACAAAAACAACTTGAGAGTGTTGGCTCAGAATACATATTCTGTGCTGTAGCAGGAAGTAATGAGACATGAGACAAGCCTGACTTAATAGATCTTCTTAAACTGGTACATCACTTATTTTTACACTCGTGTCCTGTAATCGCTTAATAGTTAGAACAAACAAAAATAATAATTAAATGAATAAGGACATGGCGCAGGGGAGGAGAATGTCAGATAAATACTGGGGAGCAAGAGCATATAGGGATTTGTAGGTGAGAAGACCCCATTATATCCACCGTATAGCAAAGCTGACACCAAACTGACGTCACATCTGCTGTCGCAAGTCTGTTTCTGCCAGCTGTGCACCTCTCAATTTTTGTAATCTGGTGTGTTGTGCCACTGCAGACACAGTTGAAAACACAAGTGTGTAACTGTCAGTTTTGACCACTGTTTTAATGCTATATCACTACAAAAGAGATTCACAGCTTATACAAAGGGAGATGTTGCATTAGTCTGAAAAGATGAGACTTTGTGGAAAAATGATTTATTTTCGCTTTTGACTTCTCTTCCTCCTATATCAGCGCTGATGTGGAGATTTTGTCTGATCAATTATTCAGAAGAACACTGCACTGGCTAAATTATATACCGGCTGTGTGCTGACGCTACCAATAGCACATGAAGTCACCAACGTGACCAGTGTACTGAGTAGTGATGTGTCAGTCGCGAACAAAACGGCTCTTAGAGCCGGATCTTTGACGTGAACGACGCGAGCCGGCTCCTTATCGCGAGCCGTG